AGAAGGGCTGAGCAGACACAAGCGACACGGCCAACCTAACATTACTATTATATGCATTACTTGTAACAGGCGCTATGTAGTAGATAAATATCACGACGACATATTCTTCATAATTACGATTATTAATATTGTATACTTCACCAATGTTTAATGCTACAGAAGCGTCAATAGGATCGACGCTTTTTATCTGGTCCATATTCATAGGATGACCAGGATACCCTTTACCTCTAATTGTGTTCACGATATTATCTGCCTCGTCGTTCACTATGTCGAATACCCTCATCTCTGGTGAGGAACAGCTGTTAATGAAAAAATTGCCACCTTTTTTCTTTCTTATTGTGGGGTACTCGTGATGTTTTCTCTCAAAAGACATTCCAGTATGATCCGTTCTTAAAATAACTGACGTTGATTGTAGGTCGTCTGGGTCATCATCAGTAATATTATATCTTGGCAGATTATGTTTAATAATGTCCAGTTTACTCGATAGCATAGTTAGTTTCTCCTTATTGGAGCTCACGGCATGATAGCTTATTAAAATATAGAATATGACAAGAATATAGATAATAGCGAGTCCTGCTAGAATAACTATTGTTATTTTGTCCATTTTACCCAATGATCTTATTCTGTATTAATTATTTGAGTATATATTCATAATAAAAATTATTTACAATTTTAGTGTAACAAAATCGTCTTAACAATTCCTAATAAAATCCTACATATATTACACTACAAGAGTATCGATGATAGCGAGTCTTATTAGAACAAGTATCGTTATGATATCCATTTACCTTTTTTTTAAAGTAATAATATTGTTTTAACAGATTCTATAAATTCCTGCACATATATTGATTTACCAGAATCACATCCTATGTTTTTGTAAATATGTTTTATGTCAATATATCGACTGTTTCTAATATTGTCGGTATTTATTTTTGAGGGGTTTATTGATAACAATCTTACGAAGCAACAAATATTTGATTTTAACATTCCTTTGGTTATCACTTCTCTTGTCCACAGATAATGAAGTAGACAACACACTTTTGACACGCTTCCACTATTATTATTATTATTATCGCCATCGAATTCACCATCGCTGCTACCGCCGCTTTTACTAAAACTCCATTCCAATAATGGTCCGGAAATAATTGGAAATTGTATTATACCACGAGTACCTTTTATCTTGTCCTCTGAATAGCCAGCCAGGTACACCATTCGAAGATCAACCACCTGATGATGATGATTACTATTTCTTGATGTACTATTGTTATTATCATTATTACCATTGGATATCTGGATCGTTATCGGAAACGATAACGTAAACCCAATATCGAGATCTTTACCAAAGTCAGATATTCTTTCTCTGACCCCCATACTGCAATTCGGACAATCATTCTTTAGCCTCATATCGAACCACATCTCGAGACGTTTCATTATGTTCAAAAAGTGTTTGTCGTCGGCATTTCCGACATGATTGATTTTTCCGGATCTTATTCGTTTTACAAAATGATGATTATGATGCCAATTGAGAATTCTTGAACGTCTACATTTGGTACCTTTATAACAATTAACATGGAATACGGCATATTCGATATAAGAAGGGGTGTTTTATTTAGAGTATCGTGAACGTCCCGAAAAAAATACACTGATGTCATTTTTGTCACACTTGTAGAGCCTTGCATATAATGTGCTTGCAAAATTAAACTATTGAATTGTCTAATCGAACGGACGAGAGCATCACAATAGTTCATTTTTTTTAAACAATAAAACTCACTCTATTTCTAATACTATTATTAATATGAGTTTTAGTTAGTACAATTGAGGTATGTACCTAACTCGATTGAGACAAATGTTGAGTGTTTTATTTATACCGCGATTGAAATCTGATATAGTGGGACTATGATAATGACTACTATCAGGGTCATCATCATCATCTTTGGGCGACTCTTTGAAAAATCGCAAAGTTTCACTTCTAGCCGTCGAGATCCAAACATCCATTAAAGATACATTATTATAATTAGATCGGGTGTTGTTGTTGTTATTGTTATTATTCCCACCGTCGGTCACAACGCTGCTGCTCTTGTAAAGCAGGACTTTATAACCCGTAGGAGATACGAGATAACTGTTTTGTAGCTCAATATCGTATATCTTTTTTAAATAGAGTAATATCAAATCGACGGTGTGGGCAACTCTTCGCATTTCGTTCGCGTCTGTGGCACTAGAACATAAACACAGTATACATATCTTTCTCTTTTGAAAGTAAGGTACCCAGGAAATACAGGATCGCAGCATGTGCTCTATTATATTATTTCTATTCAATCTCATTTTTCTATTAAAAAGCGGAGGGTCGCATTCTATACACAGTCTTATCGGTTCATCGTCTTTTAGCCGCCGCCGCCGTTGCTGCTGATCTCCTATTCTTTTCTCTCTTCTGGTTCGCTGCATCCTTCTACACCTTTTTTGGTTATATTACTACTAATATTTTCTTCTTCTTCTTCGTTGTTATCGTGTAAGATGGAATTTCGTTCTTCAAACTCTAGCTTGTAAGACGTTTGGTTATTTACATTCATGTCTCGCAACGCTCTCGTTTGTATCGTCATGTGCATTGTTAGCGGAAAGGGAACCCTATCGCTCTGGCAGGCGAAAGGATATCGAGCTGACCCGCTCGCCATGGAGGTCGGCCGGCGAGCTTCTCGGTCGGCATACGCAAAGCTGACGAGTCCATCTATACCGTAGTGCGATAGCAGAGAATACTTTGTCAGCAAAGACTTGTCCACTTTTCTAAAGCCTCTCACAGCCAATCGCTCGAAGGGCTCCTCGGTTCTAGCTCTTATGCCTTCGAGAGTGGTGGTCACATTATCGCCAAGCGGGGGTTTAGTAAAGGGATGATACCACGCCTCCACACCTCGCGTCAGCATACCCTCGGCGGGCGTCTGTCCGCACTGAAAGCCGCTCATGTGCGGAGTATTGATATTGTACGTGTGGATCATTCTCATCGGGAAATTTTTCGCAGTGGTGGTCGTCATCGTCCTTGGGTTACCCATTACGGGGGTGCCATACATGGCAACGATTCCTCCAGGTCCTTCATGCCAAGCAGAAAACGTATCTGAGCATATCGTATTAGGGGAAACTCTACAACTAGATTCGTAGAAATCAACGATTCGTTTATATCTTAAATGTCCGTTCGTATTTCGAAATAATAGATATTGAGGTTTACCCACAGGTACATTATACTCAAAGTCGTCTCTCGAGAGAATGGCATCGTCGTGGTAATCGACGGGTAAGGACGATGAAGATGGATCTGTTGATAAGGGTGTGACTCGGTCATAGGGTACTATCGGTTCTCGGGCAAAAAAGCGCGTAAAGGCAGCATTATTTCTCGTGGCCGTAAATCGATTAGCGGCGACCGGTAGTGCGCGATTGGCCGTGAATTTATTTTGCAATAGATTAAAGACTCCTCCTTTTGTAATGGCTTCGACGATGAATGGGTCTCTATTTTCGAGTCTCATAAGAGCGTACATCAAGGGAAGATGATGTTTGGGTGTTGATCGGCAAAATAGGTAAGGTGCAAATCTGTTTCCCCTGCTTGGAGTTGCTGCTACGACACCCGTGTCATTATTATTATTATTATTATTGGTTGAACAAAATATATCCGTTAGACAGTTGCACTTTTGATTGGCGGCTACGGCCATCAGGTAAGACTGCGTATCTTTTGGATTGCTCTCAGATAGAGCCTTGATCGCTTCCAAGAGTTTTGATTCGGTTAGGCTGTCATCATCAATGTGGCCGAATTCGCCAAAGGATCGGGGCGATAATATGGTCACGTACTGGTTAAGAGAACCTGAGGAAGGGTAACTCATATAACCTCCTAATTCGTATTTACTGCACGGCGCCGAGGCGATGCCCTGAAAGAGATCGCCCGAAGTGTGAGGGTTGCTGCCCCAGTCCTGAAACAGCACCGCCGGTTTATTAGAGAAGAGATATCTCGAGCATAAGGGTCTCATTCTGAAAAAGGATTCTGTCAACGTGAGAGACGGCACCAAACCGTCTGCTCTTCCCGGAACCCAATCGTCATTGATATACTTGGAGGGAAAATCGTCGACGATGGTGCCGGTAGT